GATAGACATTACTACCAATGCCACACGGGATGGACTTCAGGAAAAAGATATACATATATTTTATGAATTAGTTATTTAGAACAAAAAACTAATAAATATGTCAGAGACAAAATATACAAAGTTGCTGGACATCAGAAGACTTTCTTGGCAGTGGTGAAACGTCGCAAGTTAGCTTGGTTTTGGACACGTAGTAAGACATGATTTGATTGCAAAGACTGTACTTTAAGAAACATTGGGGTGTAGTCGAAGAAGAGGAGAGCAAAGAAAAATCTGGAATGACAACATAAAGAAATGGACAGGACTAAGTTATCATACACTTAATTATCAAGCAGGACAGAGAAAGATGGCAGGTTTTATGTGCTAGTGCTTCCATCAATACACCTCCACGACCTTAATGGGTCAAGGGTTATGTTATGTTATGTTACACATTGTCACTTGTGTACTCCTATGTGTATTTTTATCTTTTACTTCTAGTTCAGGGTTCTCTAAGAGTTGAAATATATGTGTATTACACATGTTAAAACTGCTGTTTCTTGATTGCTTTTTTTTTTATGAGATTCACAAAACTTAATGTGATTGTTCTCTCCAATCACTGACATTCCATGACATAGCTGTTTTCTCCTCAGACATTCACAACACTGTGTGTGATTGTTTTCTCCAGACATTCACAACAGTTTACATAACTGTTTGCTCCACAGACATTCACACTTAGTGTAATCTCCATCCACAGACATTCACAAACACTTTATGTGTGTTTTCTCACAGACATTTACAAAACTTAACATAAATCTCAATCCACAGACATTGACAAACACTGTATGTGATTGTTTTCTCACAGACATTCACATCACTTAATGTGGTTTGTGTCTCTCCAGACATTCAGCAAACATCCAAATTTCATGTGATTGTCTTCTCCCTCCACCTATATTTATAACACTTCATGTCATTGTCTTATTTGTCCACAGATATTCACACTTCATGTGATTTGTTTTCTCTGTCCACAGATATTCATAACACTTTTATGTGACTGACTTCTTTGTCCAGATATTCACACTTCATGTGACTTGTTTTCTCTGTCCACAGATATTCACAACAATTCATGTGATTGCTTTCTCTGTCCAGAGATATTCACAACACTTTATGTGATTTGTTTTCTCTGTCCACAGATATTCACAACACTTCACGTAACCAAGAAAAGTGGTGAAAGTCCCGAAGTCACGGGTTGCTGAGGTTAATTCCCCACTGCTCTTCATGTCTGACACTGCAACCAGTCACAACAACCAGCCTAAGCTGTCTTTACTGATGGGTGACCAGGGACACTAAGGGTCATTTGGGACAACATGGGTCAATTAGGACAAGTTGTCTTATAGGTGAACCAGGACAAGTTGTCTTATAGGTGAACCAGGACAAGTTGTCTTATAGGTGAACCAGGACAAGTTTTCTTATAGGTGAACCAGGACAAGTTGTCTTATAAGTGAACCGGGACAAATTGCTGTGTCAGACAAAGCAGTGGGGATTTCAAACCTTTTCCTTTTTAGAACTGTTATGTCACGTGCTTTTTACAAGCACCGAATGACGGTTTTGTCTACAACCTTAAATACAAGGTGGGCGAAACCTGAGAATGGCATAATACTGTTTTAATGAATTAACTTTGTTTTCTTATTATAGTCTATGAAATCACATGGTTCGAAAATCGTCTTATTATTTCATTTTATGCACGGTTTTTTTATTTACTTAAGTGTCTTATTACATCATGAAGAATATTGTCTGATCAACTACTGGGGAGACACTGGTCAACTACTGGGGAGACATTGGTCAACTACTGGGGAGACACTGGTCAACTACTGGGGAGACACTGGTCAACTACTGGGGAGACACTGGTCAACTACTGGGGAGACACTGGTCAACTACTGGGGAGACACTGGTCAACTTCTGGGGAGACACTGGTCAACTACTGGGGAGACACTGGTCAACTACTGGGGAGACACTGGTCAACTACTGGGGAGACATTGGTCAACTACTGGAGAGACACTGGTCAACTACTGGGGAGACATTGGTCAACTACTGGGGAGACACTGGTCAACTACTGGGGAGACATTGGTCAACTACTGGGGAGACACTGGTCAACTACTGGGGAGACACTGGTCAACTACTGGGGAGACACTGGTCAACTACTGGGGAGACACTGGTCAACTACTGGGGAGACAAGGTCAACTACTGGGGAGACACTGGTCAACTACTGGGGAGACACTGGTCAACTACTGGGGAGACACTGATCAACTACTGGGGAGACACTGGTCAAACTACTGGGGAGACATTGGTCAACTACTGGGGAGACACTGGTCAACTACTGGGGAGACACTGGTCAACTACTGGAGAGACACTGGTCAACTACTGGGGAGACACTGGTCAACTACTGGGGAGACATTGGTCAACTACTGGGGAGACACTGGTCAACTACTGGGGAGACATTGGTCAACTACTGGGGAGACACTGGTCAACTACTGGGGAGACATTGGTCAACTACTGGGGAGACACTGGTCAACTACTGGGGAGACACTGGTCAACTACTGGGGAGACACTGGTCAACTACTGGGGAGACTTGGTCAACTACTGGGGAGACACTGGTCAACTACTGGAGAGACACTGGTCAACTACTGGGAGACACTGGTCAACTACTGGGGAGACATTGGTCAACTACTGGGGAGACACTGGTCAACTACTGGGGAGACACTGGTCAACTACTGGGGAGACACTGGTCAACTACTGGGGAGACACTGGTCAACTACTGGGGAGACACTGGTCAACTACTGGGGAGACACTGGTCAACTACTGGGGAGACACTGGTCAACTACTGGGGAGACATTGGTCAACTACTGGGGAGACACTGGTCAACTACTGGGGAGACACTGGTCAACTACTGGGGAGACACTGGTCAACTACTGGGGAGACACTGGTCAACTACTGGGGAGACACTGGTCAACTACTGGGGAGACACTGGTCAACTCCTGCGGAGACACTGGTCAACTACTGGGGAGACACTGGTCAACTACTGGAGAGACACTGGTCAACTACTGGGGAGACACTGGTCAACAAATGCCTGAGAAAGTTGGTTATATTGAGTGAAAGGTGCAGATATCACACCTCTGCTGTAAAAAGAAACAAAGTTAATCCATCCAAGCAACAATGCAAAGAATCACAAAACAGGCACCAAACTGGGAAATAAATGGATTGAGCGAGGATGTCTGAAAGTAACCCTGTCAGGTAAATTAATGAGAAAACCAGAATCCACATCAGGGCAGGGAAAGTAGCCATTTCAAGGGTACACCAGCATTGCTTTTTATGTGTTAAAATTATTAGTGAGTAGAAAAGAAAAGTGGTTTGAATGTTTTTTATCATGCAATTTTATACTGATAAATAAACTTTACAATTGGTGTTTTATGGTTTGCTGTTTCATGGTCAAATATAACACTGTAGTGTCTTAGACTGTTCTTGTATAAATATGACAAGTGAAGTTGCACCGCTTGTGGTGTCTTGAACTGTTCTAGTACAAAATATGACAAGTGAAGTTGCACCGCTTGTGGTGTCTTGGACTGTTCTAGTACAAAATATGACAAGTGAAGTTGCACCGCTTGTGATGTCTTGGACTGTTCTAGTACAAAATATGACAAGTGAAGTTACACCGCTTGTGATGTCTTGGACTGTTCTAGTACAAAATATGACAAGTGAAGTTGCACCACTTGTGGTGTCTTGGACTGTTCTAGTACAAAATATGACAAGTAAAGTTACACCGCTTGTGGTGTCTTGGACTCTTCTAGTACAAAATATGACAAGTGAAGTTGCACCGCTTGTGGTGTCTTGGACTGTTCTAGTACAAAATATGACAAGTGAAGTTGCACCGCTTGTGGTATCTTGGACTGTTCTAGTACAAAATATGACAAGTGAAGTTACACCGCTTGTGATGTCTTGGACTGTTCTAGTACAAAATATGACAAGTGAAGTTGCACCACTTGTGGTATCTTGGACTGTTCTAGTACAAAATATGACAAGTGAAGTTGCACCACTTGTGGTATCTTGGACTGTTCTAGTACAAAATATGACAAGTGAAGTTACACCACTTGTGGTGTCTTGTACTGTTCTAGTACAAAATGTGGCAAGTTTGCACCGCTTGTGGTGTCTTGGACTGTTTTAGTACAAAATGTGACTAGTGAAGCTGCAGCCAGACCAAACTGCACATGACATGAGACTTATTACAGCAGAACAGTTGGAAGGAAGGCCAGAGAAAGACCAAGATAGAGACGGATAAATGGTATAGTCGAAACCTGCAAAAAGATGAACAAATCCCTCACCCAAGCCACCCGAGAAGCACAAGTCAAATACAGAAAACTACGACACTGGGCTACAACCTGTATCACTGAAATGACAAAAGAAGAAGCTGCAGTGCCTCTGAAACTGTTTTTGTCTAGTCTCAGGTGGAATGCATAGGTGATTCACAACAGCTGTGGCAGTGGACAGGACTAAAACTGGCGACGACCTGTCTACGTCTCACTGTGGTCATCACAGAAACAAGTTCCCACGCTAATGTAGACAGGTTCATCGTTTCCTTCAAAGTCGGAAGTCATCTGCCTGAAAAGCGAGGAATCAACAGTCTGCTCACAAAGGCAAATTTCACGTTCTGGAAAAAGACAAAAGTCCCGTCATGGATGTGAATAAGCAGGACTTTCTGCCAGAGTGCACAGCCAGCGAATGCAAAAGAAGAAGACTAGCAGGAAAACAGTAAATAGCATTGCTGTTAGAAGTCTGTTAGGCATAACAACAATATTTTAAACTGGTGTAAATGGTTCGTTCTTAATCGTGTTTTTTTTTCTATTTAACATAAAAGAATAGGAACAAACACATATATTGTAAAAATCACATGTTTATACTCATTATATCATACGTAAGAATGTTTTAAGGAAATATTTTTTTTACAACCATAAATTTATGAGAGTGATCTGCCTTTAAAAGAGAAGTTTTTTAGCTTTGGTCTTATTGACAGCAGCCTTGGGAACAGCAGCCTTAAATGCTAGAAAGTCTCTCCGAGCTAGGCAGTCGGCCAGCTGGTTCTCGTTGCGGCCCAACCAACTCACTTGCAAGGTGATTCTATACTCATGACATGTAGACTGGAGAATGCAAATCAGATCATCTATGGGGTCCTTACACAAATCTTCTTTTGCCGGCTCCGAGACAAAGGAATTGACAACACTGACGACTGTCTGAAATAAACAAACATCAGTGAAAATTAGTACTTGGTGAAAATATTTAAATCAATCATTATGTAGATAAGTGTGGGCGATAAGTTTGGGATCGCTAGTCTCATGTAGGTCATCCAAAAAAGTTTTTCTGCAGGTCTTTTTTTGGAGGGAGGAAAAAAAAAAGACTCACAAGCAAGCATTTTTTCAACAACAACAAAAACTGGGCATAGTTAGGGTTTGGCTGAAAGGTCAGATATCACCGCTTAGCTGTAAACCACAACATAAAATGGCAACTATCCGTTTAATGGCAAACACAGAAGAAGAAGACGGTCAGGTCGGTCTTCGCATCCTGCTTATGCCACATGACAAAGCCATCCAAGCATTTATGTTTTCAGATTCCCACTTGATCTTTTCACATCATCATCATCCTGTAGCAGGTCCTTTGCAGAACATCGCTCTTATCACAGTCTGCCTGAAAGAAGCTTGGTCTCTCACCACCTCTGCCGCCTCATGAACTTTCATACTCAAGGAGTCACTTATATTCTGTGCCCATTTTTGTGTTGGTGGCTCCCTGCCCCTCCTTCCTGGCACCATGTATTCTGCTATTATTTTTGCCAATTCATGGTAGCGCTTGATATGACTAAAATATTTGGCGGGTACTCACATCAAGTTTGTTAATTTTAGTAAGTTTTCAAGTTTATTCCCTTCCCCCCCCCCCCCCCCAAACTTCTCTAATGAGTTTACGAGTTTAATCTCATTTACTATATTTTTCCCTGCATAAGCAAACTCCATGAATAAGACGACCCCTTTTTATATTAAGTAAATGATTATTATAAATAATAATGATTATTGTAAATAACCGATTATTGTAACTTAAATTATTGTAAGTAACTCAGATTACTGTAAGGAACTGATTACTGTAACTCAGACTACTGTCAGTAACTCTGATGACTGTAAATAACTCAGATTGCTGTAAGCAACTGATTATTGTAAGTAACCATGATTATTGTAACTCTGATTACTGAAAGTAATTCTTTTTGTTTAAGCAATTTTGATTATAAGTAACCCTGATTACTGCAAGCAACTCAGATTATTGTAATTCTGATTATTGTAAGTAACTCTGGTTACTGTAAATAACATATTACTGTAAACAACGCTGACTATCGTTAAGTAACACTGATTATTGTAAGTAATTCTGATTAATGTAAGTAATTCTGATTATTGTAACTCTGAAACATTGAAACTCACCAAATTATCGCTGTAACAAAGAAGTCTCTGACTACGCAACTTGTGCTTCCATGTGAAGACTGCTGTGACCAGAGCATACAACTCTCCAATCAGGGAGTTCAGATATGGTTTCTTGAATTGGTGAAGCAGTGCGTTAATTCTGTGACCATCCCACTCTTCACTGAACCAGCTCACCTGCAAGACAACAAGTTCATTGTTCAATATAGGATCAGCTCCACTGTCTACTGTTTAATGTTCAATTAACAATCCATCTCACAGCACTCGGGTCATTCCATGTGCGCTCCATCCCTATCTTCAACAAGCACAGAGTTCTATCTCTGATGGTACCGGTAACAGTCTGATTGTATATCTGTATCATCTTTAAGTGTTGATCGCCAGCCAGATCCAAAGAGCTCTTACAACATCTAGCTTGCAATGCATCAATCCACCACCAAGTTGTGCAGAACCAGCCAGTATATCTGCCTGTTCATTTCCTAATACACCGGCATACCTGGAGAAAATATCCAAAGGATGCTAACTACCCAGACCTGTAAAGAAATGCTTGCCACTCTTCATGAAGCATACTTATCTCCAACTTCCTCAACATGCTCTGTGAGTCAATTACAATTATAACATCTGTGTATAGCTGATTCCTGAGCCAGTGGAAGGCTAGAGTGACTGCCTCCACCTCCATTCTCAAGCCAGTGGAAGGCTAGAGTGACTGCCTCCACCTCCATTCTCAAGCCAGTGGAAGGCTAGAGTGACTGCCTCCACCTCCATTCTCAAGCCAGTGGAAGGCTAGAGTGACTGCCTCTACCTCCATTCTCAAGCTAGTGGAAGGCTAGGGTGACTGCCTCCAACTCCATTCCCAAGCCAGTGGAAGGCTAGGGTGACTGCCTCCACCTCCATTCTCAAGCCAGCGGAAGGCTATTGGGCATACCTATAATGCTCGAATCTTCTTCTAAGCAAGTTCTTTAGCGTGTTCATACTGAAAACACTTGTTGTCTATTGGCTGATGTAGTGATTCTGCCAAGTTTCTTCTCATTTTCCTTCTTTATGTTCACTGGCTGTTAACTCAGGTGGAAAGTTCTGGTTGCTCATCTATTTCTGGACTTTAGTTCCAGAACTTACTCTACGTTTGTTGGCCACAGAAGAAGTTATCGAGCTCAGTGCATGGACTCATAGCTCCAACAGTGAGGGGAAAACAGAGACAGACTTTTCATCAGGTTGCCACAGGTACTATATTATTAGCAGAACGACTCTTTGTTGGCTACAGAATAAAGGGACGGAGCACATGTGGGAATGCCCCGAGTGCAGCGATGTCCATTCTTCATTAATTCATTTATTCATTCATTCCAGAACTTGAGTTTTGTATTTGCATGCAGACTCTGGTTAACTGCCTCTAAGGCCTGTTTACTGCGACTTTCTGCAGTGTGTTGCCTCTTGTATAGCATTAATTGTGTTATTTTTGTCCACTGAAGGTCCACTTCCTAGGGCAGCAATGCCTGCATGTCATCGGCCCTTAAGTTGTCTTTCCCACTGGCATTAAAAAGAAAGTAAAAAGGTTTAACTCTTTTGGTACCTTGCAACTCACTGTGAGTTTACTGGTTTCCAGTCATATAATATACTTTTCTTACCTCAAATTTAGTTGCTATATTAACCCACTTTGCCCCAGTTGTTATATTAACCGACTGAAGTTTTATATCAACCCACTTTCCTCAGTTTTATATTAACCCGCTTTTCTGCCTAGTTGTGTATTAACCCACTTTGTCCTCTGCCGAACTCTCCCAGTCCTTCTTGTCTCCTGCAGGTTTTTGCAATTCCTCTCCATATTATGTCACTAATTCTCTTCTCCATGTGTTTTGTAAATCTCTACCCCTACTTCTTTTGCCCTGTGGATTCCAGAGGTAGGACTTTCTAGTTACATTATACACACACAAATTTCCTAATATGTATCTTATCTAGTATCAATGTCCTTTCCTCACAGCTGTAGAGATAATATGTACAAAATAAAAACATAAAGATTGCAGTCGCACGAGAAGAAGTGAATAGGGAATCCCTAAACAGGCATTGAAACAGGAAACATATGGACTCAGGAAGCAAGGACACACAAGAGAAACATTCAGATGAATGCTGATGAGAGAGGCCAATGGTGCTGGACTGGATTCCAACCACAATTTCAAATGGATGTCACAGGATAGAACGGAATGGAAGAAAAGAATGTGGTACCTATGTTATGTATAAATGGCCCAACAGAATAATGATGAAAGAACATGGGGATATAAAAACTGCACTGACATTAGGGTAACAGACTACAGATCTGGCCTTCTCAGTAAAAAGGATACTACCCAATCCTCAGGTAAGAATCTAGCCACTACACCTTGGTGGGGCTCCCCTCTCAGTAAAAGCTAAATAAAAATGAAAAGCTCTTTCTAATGCACTGTGTAATCTAGTCTTCATTGCTGTGAGATTGTGCTTGATACCACTGTTCCATCCTGTGTATGGTCTTCCCCTTGCTCTGTGTTTTATATCCTCAGCTGAAGCATACATTTAAACATAATCTTTAAATATTTAACAACACCTATTGTCACTGAGAAATGTTTGCCATCTTTGTAATGATAATATCTTGTCTTCATCTTCAGTATTCAGAGCCCTTGAGGTTACTTGCCACAAATATCACCTGCCTCCATTCATCTCTAGGAAAGGTGGACGACTGTGGAGCAGTGAATCCACATGACTCGCCCGAATCACAGACTTGGGAGTTGAGATCGGTGTAGAAAAACACACCAGGCACATCAGAGGACTTTAATCAACATAGAACTGGTACCATAGCCACCAGAAGCTGGGGTTCATACTGAGGGGAGGATCTGAGCACCTATGGACATGTCAGGAGTGCAATGATGATAACCAAACTAATTAAACTAACTAATCTCTGGGTATGGCCTTCTCTTTCCAGTTGGTGACTTGAAGAAAAGTCTGTAGATCTTTCAGTATATTATCTCTCCATTCATCTTCTTGGTCTGCCTGTTGATCTACTCCCATTAACTCTTTGAGTCCCAGGGAATGCATCATATGTTCATAGGTTCTTACCTAGAAGCCCAATGATGTGTTGATTTTAGTCTCTTCTTACTACCCATTGGGCCTGTGATGCTAAACCCCCTGGGACTCAAAGAGTTAAACTAATTTGTATACTCAGTTTTTAAATGTTAATTTTATATTCTGAAAATTTACCTTCTGAGTTGAATTTAGAGTTAAAAAAGCACCGAATCCCCACACCGAAGCATCGCAGAATATCTTAGCATCAGCGCTGAACTTGTCTTCTTCAGTTTTATAATATGAGGGCTTATGTATGTTCTTCGACCAGCGCGCTTTGGTGGCACTGAGCACTATGTGTTCAATACGTGTGCAAGATAGTTCACTGTTGTTCTCAATCAGCAACTTTTGCAGCTAAATATAAATGAGGTTTATGAATAATTTACATGGTAGTTATCATTGCATAGTCAAATATAATATCTTTTAAACTGATTAAGAAAGCGCACTAACAGTTCAGTTAAATGTGTAAAGGTAAAAAGGTAAAGTCGGGAGATGTGAACCAGTGTCATTGCAATGGTTATTAACCATAAGTGCTCTGCCACCAGTACGAACAGCTGATAAGAATTATACGCCTGTGTCGCTGTTCGCACGTAACTCTGTAGCTACAGTGACATTCCTCCATTTACCCCAGAATGTCAAACTCTAGTACCCATTTCCCAGAGGCTGGGTGAACCCCAGGAGCCGCCCAGTTTCAAACACTGACCATGGGCTGCAGCGAGTAGCAGCTGGATTTGAAAGCGTGCCTCTTATCGACTGCGCTAGCACGGCCCCCTAAGTTAAATCTTTTTCTGGAACTTGAGTTTTGCGCGTAAATCCATTTTATAGATCTAGTCTGTTTGTGCGCAGACTGTTGGTTCCTCTCCTCCCAGGCAGATGTACTCTGACTTAGAAGGAATAACCCCTAACTGGTCACTTTGACATCATGCATGGGAATGCCCTGAGTGCTGTGATGTCAATTCTTAACTCAACTCAACTCAGCTCTTTGACATCATGCTTGTTGGAGTCAGTAGATCTATTCTTGTCCCCTCCAAAAATGAGGCCACAGAATCTGCATGGGTATCCATCATGTTCACAAACATCAGAAAAAACAAATCCATTCTTAATCAGTCTCTTTATCCAACTGAAAGTGCACCCCATTTGTCCCTGCATTTACTTGAAGTGTCTTCTCAAAACATAGCTAAGAGTGAGTTCATTCAACTGTGAGTGAAGAATTGTCTTTTTAAAAAAAACACACACACACACAGATCCGCTTTTGTGATTAGTGATTAGAAAGGATTATCATCACAGCACTCCAGACAGATCCTTAGGTGCTCTGATCTCCTCCTCAAAAGCTCCACAACACAAGTGTAAAACGACTGATGACGCCTGTTCTGTGTTGGTTAATGAAACGTTTTGTCCTCTTAGTGAAATGTTCATTTCTTGCAGCTTCAGGCTGCACTCACATGTCTATCAGTCTAGACAGGGATACGGAGTCATGTCCTTTGGCATGTTCCTCAGTATGGTAAGTGCAGCGCATGGCATTGATAACATCACTTCTGTCCAGTACTGGGTCAGCCATAGCAACTGCAGTGTCAGCAAGACAGTCTGCACGCTCGTTCCCTTGAACACCCGCATGACCTGGCACAAAGATAAAGGTTGGGGCAGATATTCGTGAAGTGCTTAGTGTTTCAATCCATTCTTGTCTGATAAATCTAGCTTGGGTTTTTTTAAGCATATTCATTGAGTCACTAAGAATGCATACATGTGTGAACTTTTGAGTACCAAGCCATGCTAAAGCCACAGCTGGGATCAAACCTGGCACAACGGCATCACACAGTGTGTTCGCAATGCCAAAGCCACAGATGCCACCTCATCTAAAAGTGGAAACAGTTGAATATTCTATAATACACTAAAGAAGATTACAGCAAGAAAGATAAACAAATAAAAACGTGAGCAAGGCAGCATATGTTTACAGACATCCTGAAGAAGGGGAACAGGCAGCTAGGAGTTAACATCAGTTGTGTATCCTTTACAGGACATTGTACAACCAACCCCAGCATTTTTTTGGCTGTTGTTTTTCTCGGCAAATTTACATTCAGTAGTTTGCCATTGCTTTCTGAACAGCTGACTCTCGATACTGCTGCTAAACCAACATAATATGGCTGCTGCTAAACCAACGTAATACGATCTGTTGCTAAACCAACGTAATACGATCTGTTGCTAAACCAACATAATATGGCTGCTGCTAAACCAACGTAATACGATCTGTTGCTAAACAAACGTAATACGATCTGTTGCTAAACCAATGTAATACGATCTGTTGCTAAACCAACATGTTTACATCTGATAATGAGCAGAATAAGAGATGGCCAAAAAACTTTAAATAGATTTTAAATAGACCTAGTCCACCAGAACCAATAAATTGTGACGGAAAGAAATGACCACAATTACCAATAAATAAAGGACAGAATGACGTCGAAATCAGGGAGGCAATCGATTAATTTTTAAACAATAAGACACCAGGTGATGATATTACTGCAGAAATTCTCAAGGCAACAGGTAGGTAGGCAGGCGTACCCCACCAGGACATCATACAAGCGATAAACACCCTTTGACACAAAGTTCCACCATGTCGATGAGGATCACCTGTGGAGAGGTCCCAGAAACCCCTTTTAGCCATTAGGTCATATTTATGGCCCGGCTATATTCAGGGCCCCCAGCAGAAGTCAGGGTGGAGCTTCAAAAAACAAAAAAATTGCACCCCACATAGGGACAACTTTGGTTAATAAGGTAGTAGCTGATCTAACCATCGACTAAGTGAAAGATTTTTTTCATAGATTATGGAAAATATTGAAGATAAAATTAGATGAATTCAAAAGGGGTGAATAAATAAGAAGAAATGTCTAGGTAATCAGTGGTAACAACAGTTTTAAGACAAAGTAGATGGTGCTATATTAGACACATCCAGAGAGAACCACCAAACAGGCAGGCACAAAAATGGGAAATAAAGCGACTGAGGAAGCAGGAACACCCAAAAGAAACCATAAAAAGAATGTTGATGAGAAAGGCCAAAGATGCTGGACTGAATTCCATCCATGATACTGAACTGATTGCATTGGATGAAGAAACAGACAGTTAGCTTTATAATGACACAACAGAGTCAGCTTTATAATGACACAACAGAGTCAGCTTTATAATGACACAACAGAGTCAGCTTTATAATGACAACAGAACAATGAAGGAATGAAACCGATCTGGGCAAATGTATAATCCATTTTAAAATTTTTTTTAAACACACAAAAAGCCTAATATATATTACAATATGACTAAACCAGCGAGAATTTATGAAAATACACTCTTGTGTACTCACCTTTAGTTTACAGACGACAGACATGTAGCCCAAAATTTGTGCAGCAGGAAGAGACAACCCTTCTGCATGGACGGAGAATGGAAATGGCCAACCTACATGGATCGTACACAGCCACTTTGGTTTACTTATCTGCCTTACACCACAGTTCGGCATACTCATATTTTCAGCGTTTTCCACTGCCATTTGAAATAGAGCATTAGTGGAACTGTCACATGCAGCAACAACTTCAGGGTGCCATATATCTTTATTTTCCTGAATTAAATCTGAACTCTTCTGACATAATCTGGCATCATTATCTTGTAAATAGCTTCCAAGAGATTTGTTCTCTACATCTTCTGCTGTCCTATTTGTTTTACTTATACTAATTGTCTGATCATCATCAAGTTTTTCTCTGTCGTAACCCTTGTCTTTGACTTGTTCCAAAATGATTTTAAACCCTCTGCCTTTTGAACAGCCTAATGAAGATTCTCCATATTTTGATAATTTTTCTAGCATCATCATCACTTTTTCGCATGTCATTGGTACCCATACTCCATCCTCGTTCTCATATAACAGACCCGCATCCTGTCCAAAAGATTAGATTTAAAAAAAGAAAATGAAAATTGTGATATTTGTGATACTACTTTCAAATATAAACTTAAGTGTGCATTGTGATGTTTCACATTACCTTTAAATGTTTGCATGAGTTTAAATTGTGATATTTGTGACATTACCTTCAAATATAAACTTGTGTGTGCATTGTGATGTTTGACACTACCTCCACATGTTCACATGATTGTAAACTGTGATATTTGTGACACTACTTTATAATATAAACTTGAGTGTGCATTGTGATGTTTGACACTACCTCCAAATGTTCACGTGATTGTAAACTGTGATATTTGTGACACTACTTTTAAATATAAACTTGAGTGTGCATTGTGATGTTTGACATTACCTTTAAATGTTTGCATGAGTCTAAATTGTGATATTTGTGACACTACTTTCAAATCTTTACATGAATGTAAGTAGTGATGTTTGACGCTACCTCCAAATGTTCACATGACTGTAAACTGTGATATATGTGACACTACCTTGAAATCTTTACATGAATGTACATTGTGATGTTTGACGCTACCTCCAAATGTTCACATGATTGTAAACTGTGATATTTGTGACACTACCTTCCAATCTTCACATGAGTGTGCATAGCGATGCCTGATATTACCTTTAAATATTTGCACGAATGAAAATTGTGATATTTGTGACATTACCTTCAAATGAATGTACACTGTGATGTTTGACTTTACATCCAATTTGTGTATGAGTTTAAATTGTGATTTTTTGTTCTCGTTATCTTCTTATGTTCACAAATGTGAAAATTTGTATATGATATCACAGCAAATGTTCACACATATTTATACTGTAACATGACACTACCTTCAATTGTTCATAAAGTGTAAAAGTGGACACATGATATTACTTTTTACATGAGTTTAAACTGTGATATTTATTAGATTACCTTCCTATATTGGCACAACTGCAAAATATGATATATATATATAAGTGTGTGTGTGTGTGTGCATATGTGTGTGTATATAAATACATATATATGATAGTATCTTCAAATGTTCAGAAATGTAAATTTATATGTATGACATTGCCTTCAAATGTTCACATGAGTGTAAATTGTAATCCTTATGACATTACCTTCAAATGTTCAGATGAGTGTAAATTGTAATCCTTATGACATTACTTTCAAAAGTTCACATGAGTGTAAATTGTTATATGTATGCCATTGCCTTCAAATGTTCACATGAGTGTTAATTGTTATATGTATGACATTACCTTCAAATGTTCACATGAGTGTAAATTGTTATATGTATGTCATTACCTTCAAATGTTCACATGAGTGTAAATTGTTATATGTATGACATTACCTTCAAATGTTCACATGAGTGTAAATTGTTATAAGTATGACATTACCTTCAAATGTTCACATGAGTGTAAATTGTTATATGTATAACATTACCTTCAAATGTTCACATGAGTGTAAATTGTAATCCTTATGACATTGCCTTCAAATGTTCACATGAGTGTAAATTGTAATCCTTTTGACATTGCCTTCAAATGTTCACATGAGTGTAAATTGTAATCCTTATTTGCCTTCAAATGTTCACATGAGTGTAAATTGTTATATGTATGACATTGCCTTCAAATGTTCAGATGAGTGTAAATTGTAATCCTTATGACATTACCTTCAAAGATTCACACATGTGTAAGGAGTTATATGTATGACATTGCCTTCAAATGTTCAGATGAGTGTAAATTGTTATATGTATGACATTGCCTTCAAATGTTCAGATGAGTTTAAATTGTTATATGTATGACATTGCCTTCAAATGTTCACATGAGTGTAAATTGTTATGTGTATGCCATTGCCTTCAAATGTTCACATGAGTGTTAATTGTTATATGTATGACATTACCTTCAAATGTTCACATGAGTGTAAATTGTTATATGTATGACATTACCTTTAAATGTTCACATGAGTGTAAATTGTTATATGTATGACATTGCCTTCAAATGTTCAGATGAGTGTAAATTGTAATCCTTATGACATTACCTTCAAAGATTCACACATGTGTAAGGAGTTATATATATGACATTGCCTTCAAATGTTCACATGAGTGTAAATTGTTATATGTATGACATTGCCTTCAAATGTTCAGATGAGTGTAAATTGTTATATGTATGACATTGCCTTCAAATGTTCACATGAGTGTAAATTGTTATGTGTATGCCATTGCCTTCAAATGTTCACATGAGTGTTAATTGTTATATGTATGACATTACCTTCAAATGTTCACATGAGTGTAAATTGTTATATGTATGCCATTGTCTTCAAATGTTAACATGAGTGTAAATTGTTATATGTATGACATTGCCTTCAAATGTTCACATGAGTGTAAATTGTTATGTGTATGACATTACCTTCAAATGTTCACATGAGTATAAATTGTTATATGTATGCCATTACCTTCAAATGTTCACATGAGTGTAAATTGTTATATGTATGACATTACCTTCAAATGTTCACATGAGTGTAAATAGTAATCCTTATGACATTGCCTTCAAATGTTCACATGAGTGTAAATTGTTATATGTATGACATTGCCTTCAAATGTTCAGATGAGTGTAAATTGTAATCCTTATGACATTACCTTCAAAGATTCACACATGTGTAAGGAGTTATATGTATGACATTGCCTTCAAATGTTCACATGAGTGTAAATTGTTATATGTATGACATTGCCTTCAAATGTTCAGATGAGTGTAAATTGTAATCTTTATGACATTACCTTCAAAGATTCACACATGTGTAAGGAGTTATATGTATGACATTGCCTTCAAATGTTCACATGAGTGTAAATTGTTGTATGTATGACATTGCCTTCAAATGTTCACATGAGTGTAAATTGTAATCCTTATGACATTACCTTCAAAGATTCACACATGTGTAAATAAGATCCAAAAATGGCCAGATCCCTTTCTGGATGTAAACCTAAAACTGTTATTTCTTTTGGCCAGGACAAAGTCAAAGAAGCTTTCCAGTAGCGTTGCTGCAAATGATCTGTGACAACCAGGCGATGAACACAATTATCATCAGCGCTCATAGCAAGCTTCAACATGCTGTATACCAGTTTTTCTGGCTCTGGAAATATGGCCGACAATATCTTTGCTGTGAATAAAACACAATATTGCCTCACTTTTCATTATATGAATATTTCATTAGTTTGAAAAGCAGGAAAGTCTGCATTTTTAAAAGAAAAGAGTGTATATTTCAATAGTGCATATCACTGTGGTGTGTCTTATATCCAGGTGGTGGCGAGTTTTTTTTTCTGGCATTGCATAGTACTTGCATGTTTTTTGTTTGTTTTTTGTGTGATTTGTTTCAATGCCTTGCAACAGAAACTTTTTTTTGCTGAATATCAGCACTTTTTTATTCACTTTGTGATGAGTTCCAGCGACTTTCTGTCTCGACAAAGAATGATTGGTGACGGCTATGTAAGCACAACAGCTCTCACGAAAAATCATGTGAAGCTAAAATGCTGGCACTTTAAAACATCAAAGCTACAGCTGCTGTGTATATGGCCACCTTGTCTGTTTCACTGTGTCTTGAATTATCTGACAGTCCCTGCCATGTGGCTGTGTTGAGTATACTGTCCATAGCCTTCTGTGTACTGCAGATAATTTGTGAAACTTCTTTTGGGATATAAAGTGTTCATCCAGTTCTTAGAGTATATCTTCTTCTTCAGCATTCAGATCCCTTGAGGTTCACTGCTGCAGATATCACCGGCCTCCATTCATCTCTCTGGTTAGCCTTCTCTTTCCTGTTGGTAACACGAAGTGTTTGCAAGTTTGTCTGGATATTATCTCTCCATCATCTTCTTGGTCTCCCTCTTGGTCTACGACCATTATCTCCCTGGTGTATACAGTTTTTACTTCTCTGTCATCTGACATTCTTTAAAAACGTCCCAACCATTTCAGTCTAATAGCTTTCATGACGCCAGTGATCAGTGGTGATTTAAACAGATTATGAATTTCGTTGTTGCTTCTCACTTTCCATTCACCGCTGTTTGCATCTTTGATGGGTCCAAAGATTCGTCGTAACACTCTGCTTTCGAAAACCTGTAAAGTCTTGGAGTATATATTTGTCATTGTATATTTATCATGTAATTATTCATTTAAGACAATTATGTAACTTGTATCATTGTTTCAAATATTGCTTTGTTTTCACCTTTCTGGGTTGTGATTGAAAAGAAATTGTAGTATAAATATTTAGATAATCTTGTAAACATTGTGTCATTAAAATAGTGGATTTATTATAATACCTTTAGTATAATAGTTAATTATCCTTGTTGATTTTATCTTTAGAAGAAATTTCTTCAAAGATAGCATGGGCATTCCTTACCCTTCAATTTAAAAACTTGTTTTATGTCTTAACATCAGGAAAATTGGAAAGAGAGAGAGAGAGAAAGACATAGAAAAGACTAAGACAGAAGAGTTTGGTATCCCGGCATGAGGGAGCATCTATATCAGAATGATATCATAATGACTAAAATGAAATTTTGTTCACAATTAACAGAGCAGCTCACCCACCCACCAATGGTATCTTAGTAAATACAATCATACCCGGTCCTCGTAAACACTGCGCTGGTGTGAACAGAACCAATCCCCGAACCAGACCTGTCAGAGACTGGTCAATGAAGCAACACTGGTTGAATGGTTTTGTTAGGGTTTGTGATGGACAGTTTCACCGGATTAGTGGAATCTCAAATGAAAGGGCTAAAAGGGGTCCTTCACTTCACAACTAACTAAAAATACGAACAAAGACGACACAAACAATAGATTGCACAATTTATTGCCTGGCATATTTCGCTGTATCTTGTCAGGTGCATACTACAGTAACAATTACATAAATGAAGCAAATAAGTGAATCATTTATAACTGAAGTACAATTTCAACAACGATTAAACATAACTGCCTGTTTTTTACCAGGGCAGCCGTAAAGACAGAACCATCTCTTTCTGAATACAGAGTTCAGGTTGTTACTGTAGTATGCACCTGAGGAGATACAGCGAAATATGCAAGGCAATAAATTGTGCAATCTATTGTTTGTGTCTTCTTTGTTCAAATTTACAACGGGGAGACATTGCTTTGATTAACTAAAAATAGGCACATGAACAGCTGGGTCATTAGGGAGGGGAACTAGCAAAAGATCAAGAGCCTTTCTACGAGGCCATGATGAGACATTCTGGCCAGCAGGCAAGTGTTTAGTCCTTGCTTATTCAATTCAATGTTTACGATAACCATGTTTGACTGCCTCCTGGCAAGGCTGCTTCCCAGTAAGCTTTGGCTATAACTGCAGTCACTACTCTGCTGCAACTCTTATATGGGTTGACCAGTGTATTTTCTTCCAGCAATCATTTTCAGTAATATGCTGTCTTACCATCTACAATAAATGAAACCTTCTTGTGTGTCATCCAAATGCATAATTACACAGTTCTTGTTTACAGCATGGATGTGATATTTGCGCCCTTCAGCCAACAAATCAACTTCTTCATACCTTTGTTGCAGGGGTTGCAAATTATTTTAGAATCCAAAGATACGATGCTGTTTATAATTTAGTTTTTTTTTTTTACTGTTCAGACCTTGCAAATATTAATATATTTTTTTCTGTTATTTTTAAACAGTATTCTAGTAATTTTTGTGTAAAATTTAACTCCTTCAGTCCCCAGTAATTTTGACAATAAGACTATCAATCCCAAACTCTGTATATACTTGAAAGTGCCAACCTTTGTCTCTTCATGAATTAAAATAATTTAGTTATGAGATAAGAACAATCAGTAAAAACTTGGAGTAAGTAATCATAACACAAGGATAAGAAAGAAAACATTAGGAAACCTTTACCATGTACAGAGTTTTCAAAGAATGTATTGTGTCTTACTTCAGTTCAAAAGCCCTAATTTTCTTCTTCAAGTTTTTTGCCCACAAAAAGTCTCTTCTTCAAGTTTTTTGCACACAAAAAATCTCTTCTTCATGTTTTTTGCACACAAAAAATCTCTTCTTCATGTTTTTTGCACACAAAAAATCTCTTCTTCATGTTTTTTGCACACAAAAAGTCTCTTCTTCAAGTTTTTTGCACACAAAAAATCTCTTCATGTTTTTTGCACACACAAAAGTCTGTGACATTCAATTTGTTAGCTGGTGTTATGTTGTATAACTCATAATGATAAGCCCTGTCTTAATAAATGATGAATTTTTAAACAAAACTCTAAAGTTTTCTTTTTTAAAAACAAAACTGCTTCTAGAAGTTGAAAATTAAAACCAACAAAGAGGTTGAGATGCCAAGGCACATCACCATTTGCTGTGGTGGCAGCAGTACCAGGGCTCAGACTGGTCAAGATCTGTGAACACATCTCTATGGTCATCATAAGAGCAGGTTCCCTACTGGAGGTGTGGCCAACCTTGACAGGATCAGCATTTCTTTTAGGGCAGAGCGCACCTGCATGAGAAGTGAGAAACAGTCTATATACTGACTGAGCCTTCACGAAAGAAGACACTGATGTGACATCTTTAATAATGTGCCCAAACCATGTTTAAACCAGATTTGCAAAACAGATGTACATGCAGAATTCAAGTCTTAGAACAAGAATAAAGTCCAGACATAGATAACTAGCAACGACTTTCCGCTGGGGTTTACAACCGATGAATTCTAACAACAACAAAGAAGAGAACACAACCTTTTACCTTGTGGTGGATTTGGATACTGGTACTTGAGGTACATAAGGTCATTAAAATGTTCTTTTGCAGTCTGACTGTCTGAGTCACTCAGTTTGTTTGTTGCTGATTCAAGACAGTATATTCTGGAACTATGTTTGAGAGTCGGAGTTGTCAACATTCTTTTCCAAAAACCAGCGTGATCAATGTGAGCAGGTAAACCTGCAATCTTCAGGAGTTGTGAAAATGTCTTTCCTGTCTGAGCTACAGTCTGCACTGTGTTATCTGTACTATGTTCCTCGTTCAACAACTGGTTTTCCTTTAAATTCATGTAAGTTCTATGTAATAATGTTCTGGCACATCTCCCTGCTTGATTTGTAAAGGATCTGTACATGTGTTGTGAAAGCTTCAGTTGGTCAATGTTTTCTCTACTCTGTGTTGTATCTGACAAGACCTCTGGGGTTTCTGATGTGACATCTGGGGATTCCAGCAACTTCTCACTGTTCTCTCCACTGAAAGAACAAAATGATGATCTGTTACCTGGCCCATAGAAGCCTGCTGTATACTTGGGTAATTCCCTGGCATGTCTGATCATGAAGCAAAACTGACAGCTGCCACTGTATGGTCCCAGTTTCAGAATCTGAACAAATGCATTTGACAGCCATTGTTTTCCATGTCCAAAGTTCAAGATCTCAGACTTTAGCAATTTACTAGGCTTGGATTCGTGACAGGGCTGAAATACAATTTTTTTTTTTTTTTTAAATTACAAACTTACATAAATGATAAGTATGTATACCAATAATATCTCTTCTGAAGCATTCACCTAATCATTATTATTCTACTGCAATGTTTCAGGCTTTCTGATGAGATCAGTGGTTTACAGATAGACTGTGATTTCTACACCTTTCGGCACAAAGCATCAAATGTCAGCAAGCCGTTAATTAGTTGCAGTTTACAACTTGCTTGTCCACCAATAATACTCCAAAGACAACAGTGGAAGCACAATCCAATGTGGCCAACAATTATTCATTTTCAGATATTAAGATAAAATAAAAATAAAATAGAAGTGCAATAAATGACCAACAGAAATCAAAGTCAGATTCTGGGTAAAGATTGACCTTTCAGCATTCTGGTCTAGCCCGGTATTAGCTCAACATCCCTTTTGCCCTATTCGGTCATTACATATAGCTTGATATCCTTTCACTGAAAATCTGTGATGGGTATTGAAGTGTGTCTCTTGGATTCATGCCACATCAGTTTTGTCTTCACAAAGGCATTTTGCAAAAAGAGTTTTTTTTTATTTAGGACTCTTTCAGCATGCCACAGTAGTATGCTGAGTGTCCTGTATGTCTGGTCAATAGTACTGGCCTTACTGCACTGTGCCTTGACTCCACAGAACAGAGGTAAGTGACCACCAGTATTGTTGGGTGGACCCCCTAGCCACAAGGGGCTTGGTACCATCTCTGCCTTGCAGGACTCCTTGAGATTAGAATCATATCCATATATTTCAACTTGTGAAATCTTGAAATAAGCTGTTTCACTTCCTTTAGTTCTTCTTCTTTAACCTGTCCAACATCGGAGACCCTACCAGTAGCTACACTACATGATGGCAAAGCTCTTAGGATCACTGGAACATACAAGCCCCTCCACCACCGCAAGGTGGAGATACATATCAGAGGGGTACAAGTTTTCAGTTTCTTCCATTTCACTTTTTACCTCCTCCCCCAAGTGAGAGATCACTTCTGTCTTGTGCAGTTGTAGTACAAGCCCAAGTGGGGCCAGTCCAGCCAAGTTCATTCCTAAACACACTTACATGGCCCAAGCAAACAATACTTGACAGTGAATGCATCACTATAACATGACTGCCTTTTTTTTATGCATGACTCATAGAGACAGCGATATTCAAAAAATGTCTAAGACGCTACCTGTACTCATCATCATCCCATTGTGTAATTTATTCACCACATAAGGCTTGCAGTCTATTCTACCATATCATGCAAAAAAAATTATAACATAGAAGGAATTCAGTCCAGCACTTTGGCCTCTCTCTGGCTTCCTTTCTGTGAGTTTCTGTAGCAAGAGTGATTCACAGGATGGAGGAGCCGGCCCCCCAAGCACAAATCGGCTATCCTCCGTATAACGGTCATAAATTATCGAGGCCAAAAATATACCCTAACAGGGCCTCAGTCACATGTAAATTGCAGACCTCTTTTCGGCGACTATACTGCCATCGCCAAGAGTATTTCTCCACGTCGCTATGCGCGGAGTGGGGCTAAACATGATGGCTGGGAGCAAATAAAATGGAGGAAGCTGCAGGAAATGCAGTAGCTGCTGCTCATGAGTCCCAGCGATTTAGTTTAGCCCCACTCGGTGGAAGCTTTTCTGCGGTATGGTGTGTAGTCGCCGGAAAGAGGTCCGCAATTTACATGTGACTGAGGCCCTGTTAGGGTATATTTTCGGCCTCAATAATTTTGGACCATTTTTCAGAGGATAGCCCACAAATTGCCTCCTTTCTCAATCAGGCTTTGAACCAGCAATGGCTCACCTGTAATCTAATCAATTAATAACTGGTAGATTTCATGGTGGATTTTCCAATCAACATTTTTTGTTTTTAAATATTTTTTTTTTAAATTATACCCCGCCTCCACAGTGAAGATTAGCTACAGAGTACCTCTGCTGTGGAAATATGTAGTGAGAGCCCAATCTCTTTAGGCTATCCTCCGAACTTCGGGTACTAAAGATGGCGGCCGCAAAATATCCTTTCGAGCCACAGTCACATGTCAATTGCGCAGTTTCTGAGACTTAATTTGTGGTTCTCCGGCGACTACCGCCACCGCCACAAGTCCCCCACGCCGCTTATGCAGCGTGGTTGAGGCTAAACTAGATGGCTAGGACCCACGAGCAGCAGCTTCTGCATCTCCTGAAGCTTTGCTCGTGAGTCCTAGCCATCTAATTTAGTCCCAATCCACGCCGCTCATGCGGGGACTCGTGGCGGTAGTCGCCGGAAAACTGCAGGAGAACCGAAAATTTAGTCACGTGACTGTGGCTCGAAAGGATATTTTGCGGCCGCCATCTTTAGTGTCCGAAGTTCGGAGGATAGCCTGAGTTACTCTCGTACTGCTGTTTGAAAACGAGATTTTTTTAAAAACTGTCAGCCACTGAAATCAAACTGGACGATCATAAAATTTTTAAATGCATTCACTAACCTTTCAGCCATACAGGCACATAAACGTTATCATAATTAACTACCAAACACACTAACTTTCAAACATCTGAAATGTATCAGTAAAAATTAGGGCGCTCCTTTGAATCATTCCCCAAAATGACGGCATGCCACATTCTGGCCATTAAATATCCAAAAATATCCGAACGACGGTGTTCGCGTATATCTAGAAATACGGACTTTCTGCCAAGGAACAAATCGCGGCAAAACTAGGATTACTTGACAATCAATATCAACATTTGCACACGGTACTAGTAGCAGACGATAAATACCGACCGTTGACAACAATTTCGAGCGTTTCTGCAGACGATACTAGCAGACGATATTAGCGACCGTTGACCAATTTCGAGACATTACAGACGATGAAAGCCGATTAGCAATACTGTGTTCTTCCGATTGGAGGATTTAGCAGCGGTAGATGTCAGACTTGTCGGCATGCGTCAAATGCGATTAAACTCATCCCCGAGCGTATCCCCCGCGCCGCTACGCGCGGCGCGGATGGGGGCTTAACCTAGGTGCCTGGGACTCACGAGTACAGTAATTGGAGGAAGTTGCAGGAGATGCAGTAGCTGTCGCTCGTGAGTCCCAGCCATCTAGTTTATCCCTTATCCGCGGCGTGCGTAGCGGCGCAGGGGATACACTCGGCGGTGAGGCATACTCGCAGAAGCAGGTCGGCAAGTAACTCATTGCCGAGACCCTGTCAGAGCATTTGTTTCGTTATCCGGAGTCGGCACATATATTTTTAATAGAACTGACCCGCATTCGGATATTTTATGGCCAGAAATTGGCCAATTTAGCTCTCTTTCGAACGCCATCATATTAAAGCCGCCATTTTGGGGAATGATTCAAAGGGGAGCCAAAATTAGTACTTGGTTGAGCTGCAGGGTCAGTCACGACAGTATATAAGTCTAGAAACGTTTAATATCCAGCAATTCGATTCAGAAAATAAAGATTTATATGTTCGTGTGTGATAATTGTTACACAGTACCCATCAGCGCATTGTCGTCAACATTATTAAATAAGTGTAAAGTTTTAAACTAAACTAAGATTTGCCTTTCACCCGGCTATGCAAAATACTGCATCTGTCTGCCAATTACTTGGACGGTAAATGCTGGCAGTATAAAACCGAAACAAACAAAAGTCGGTCCGTATTTTTGTTTGATGCTGCGATGAGAGACCCAAGACCGTCTCAATCTGACGGGCCATGCTGCTGCTAACGATACTTTGAGTTTTCACTTTGACAGTCCTGTTTTTCGGTGTGTCCCCCCCCCCCTTCCCCACGAAAATTCTAGAAATAAGCTTTACAGTTAAACATATAATTACACACGTCGGCTCTGTGGCTAACCCGATGCAAACGCTTCGTAATGCCTTGATGCATTGGTAACCAGAAAGCCGACCGTCCAGGAAGCAATGGCAAACTACTGAACGTAAATTTGCCTAGAAAAACCCCCACAACAGCCAGGGGTTGTTGAGGTTGGTTCTGAAACGTCCTGTACAGGATACGCAACTAACCTAAAGTTACACACAATATGATAACATAGAAACATAAAGTATTGAATTTCTAGCCTGCAAACATTACCAAAAATATTGCTTTTGCATGTGTCGTCATATTGTGTGTAGCAATATATGTTTAATTCTCAAGCTTATTCCTAGAAGTTTTGTGGCGACGGCAGGAAGCATGCCGAAAAAACGGGACTGTCAGAGTGAAAAAAAATGTATCGTAGCCCGATTTGGTGACGTCAGCAGTATGGCCCGTCGAATGGAGACGGTCTTGAATGACCAGAGGATCTGGCCTTCAGTCAACAATTAAGGGAATGGTGAAACGGATCTACAATCAAACTGTTACTTGTACCATCAGAATAGGAACTCTGCGCTTATGGGAATGCCCTGGGTGCTGTGATGTTGTTTCTTAATTGAAGGTTAGTTGCGTATCCAACCCCAACAGGCCCTGGCTGTTGTGGGGGGGGGGGGGTTTCTGGGCAAATTTATGTCCAGTAGTTTGCCATTGCTTCTGGGCGGTCGGCTTTCATGATACCACTGTCGAAACCAACGAAAGGCGCATGGCCCGCAGCTGGGATCGAACCCGGCATCCCGGCATTACGAAGCGTTCGCATCGAGTTAGCCACAGAGCCGACTTCTTAATTAAACATTAGGTTAAATATGGTCCTAACAGGAACGTTGATGAGAGATGCCATAGTATAGGTGGTCAGTAATTAAGTCAATAACCCCTTACTTATACGCGAGATGAATGGGGTATATAATGCTAGAGTTGAGTTGAGTCTAGAATTGATATCACAGCACTCGGGGCATTCCCATGCATGCTCCGTCCTCATCTTCAGCAGCCAGCGTAGAGTTCCAGTACTGATGGTACT